TCTTACTTTTAATTATCCTTAATTTCTAAATTAAGTAATTATTAATATTAATTATGCAGAGAGGATATTTATAAAATACTCACTCATTATAATTAATATAATCAGTACAGAGAAAAAAGTACAAATATGTTTACAAGGTAAAAGAACAGAATTAATGGTACTGTAACAATAAAATAGTTTCATATTCTTTTTCTTTGATAGAAATTGGATTAAGGATTAAATAATCTATTTAATACACCATCAAGTTTGTGTATTACAAAATATCTACTTTTATGTAACAATTCACATTTATGAGATTATTCATTACAATCTTGTTTGATCCAAGTATATTATCTAGGAAATTTTTGAATTTGAACTTAACTTTATATTCAAACATAGATAAAATCACCATTTTTATTATAAAAGTGTAATATTATACATCTGTATTGATAATCATTTTTTTAATCTAAGAAAATCAATAAACTTGAACTCTATGTGAAATAAATTTTGCGTACTTTATGAACTTAGTAAAAAATATTCTCATATTTTTTATGAACATAAATAATTGGCTCCATATAAAGCCAAATATTTTTGCATTTTTATATCACTTTTTAATTTTCAACACTCTCTCACCTTAAATTAATTAGCTAAGGCAGTTTCCTATAGAAAAACGAACTAAATATCATATCAAGTGGGTTTAAATATAAAAACCCAAAAGAGTATTAGTATTTATTGTTTAGGGAAGATGAATCTTAGGAAATTCTATGTTTTCCCCAAAGGATATCTTGTAATGTTTTTTCTATATTAATTAAAAAATATTTAAAGACTATGGTGCTTTGATTTCTTTAAAAGCTTTCAAAATTTTTTAAAAAATCTTTTAATTAATTAACTTATTATATATTGTAACCCATTAGATATGAGCACTATATTAGATTAAGATAGATTAATTCATTTATTTCTGAAGAATATTTGTGACATATAACATCTAGCTAGCCGCAAGATATGATTTGTCCATTTTGGAGTCCATTTTTTTTAAAATTATTACATAATTTTTATATTTTTACTAGATTAAAATCTATTTATTTTAATGATTACTTTTCTATATGTCTAGCATTCATCAATACGATTATATGATTTATTCTAAGTATATATATATGCTGTTGATCTAATTATTACTTTTCAATTTTGTTAACCATAATAATTAATGGGATAGCAATACAGATTATAAAACATATTATGCCTGAATTAATTTAGATTTTAAGATTTAAAATTGTGAGTGACAATAATGCCAAAGAAATGGAAACAATCATATTAATTTTGGATACAGTATTAATATATTTAATTCTTTTAACATTTATGTTTATCCTTAAACTCATATGCATATATTTATTTATAAATAAATTCGTCATGAAAAAAAAACTCATTTTCATTTTTAATCGAATAATTATTTTAAGAATCTCCTAAGCACTAAGAATATGGATTTCAGATTCCAAATTGATTAAAATTTATGGCTTAATTACTTACTAATTCACTTAAAATAAAAATAAATAACAATTACTATTGCTACTTTTCTTGCTGAATATGGAAATCAAAAATTAACAGAAAATAATTTTAAATCTTTTAAGAATACAAATATATCGGCTCACAAAGGGAATAAATGTTGCTGCAGAGAGAAGTATAGGAGTAGATGTTATAAGATATAGATATGTATTTGGTGTTTAGCGATATCATTTAATATAGAGGACTTTTTGACATCTTAGGAAAGAGGAATATCAGTTTGATCCAATCTGGATTGGAAAGGGTACTTAAAATGTTTTGTGCAATGGCAGAAAAACCAAAGCTAAAAATATTATTGGTAAAAAATTAAATATAATACTAAGAGGTTAAATTGATAAGAATATCACTATCAAGTTAAAATAGGAACAGAAGTGATTTTATATTATTCATAATAAACTAAAGAGCTATTATGAGTGGAAAGTTC